TTAATAAAAAAAACAGAAAAATATATAATAATATTGTGAAATATTATTACAATTTAGAATAAATGAAAGACAATGTTTTTTTTTCTAATTTTACATAGGCTACTTTAAAATATAATTAATTTCTGTGATGCAAAGCTGAATTTTCATTGAGGTTTCATTGACCCTTCATAATATCAATGTTGGAAACAGTTGCACTGCTTAATATTTATTTGTTTATTTGGAACCGGTGATACTTTTTTTCGGGATTCATTGATGAATAAAAAGTTAAAAAGAACAGCATTTATCCAAGATAAAAAAAAATTTGCTATCATTTTTTTAAAATCAATTTAGCACATCATTTCTAAATAAAAGGAATTCTTTATTTACTAAATTTTTAACGTTAGTGTATATTATTGCAAAATATATCTATTTAAATAAATGTTCTTTTTTAACTTTTTATTCATAAAGGGGACCTAAAAAAGTATCACATGTCATAAAAAATAGGTAGCAAAACTGTTTCCAACACTGATAATAAATCAGCAATATCAGAATGATTTCTGAGACATCATGGTAATGGTATAGACCTTTTGATCGGTATATCAAAGTAAAATATTATGCATTAAAAAACAGTTTCTTATTTTTTCCATTGGAGTTTTTTTTATGTTGCATTCAGTTTCAGGTTATGTTTTCTGCTTTATTATGATGTCGTGTGTTACCATGATGGTGTTTTATGTTTGTGTGTGTATCACAGTGATCTTTCGTTATGTTATCATGTGGGTGTCCAAATAAGTTATCAGTACAAACAGTAACAAACTGATTTTAATCACTGAAATAGGGTGACATATTAACATTAGGAATTATTGACATATATACAGTTTAATATAGTCAACAAACATCCACACTGTGAAATCATGATCTAAAAGTCTGGGTTTTTTATGTTTGTCTAAACGATCAGTAATAAATCAAGCTTTAATGCAAAATGAGCAGAACAGAAGAATTATAAAACTCAATTCTGATGTAGGCCTATTCAAAATATGGCAAAGTCTTCAAGAATGCTGAGTTTAAATCAGTGCATTTCACTTTTTATTAATTAAAGACACAATGTACAATGACTAATTGTAATTTTATATATGTATATATATATATATATCATAGGACAATCTATATATACACATAGCCCAGCCAGGTTGTCAACAGGGAAGGACAATGGGATCTCTTGTTTTTGGACCCTGATGAAGGGGGCCCACTATGGGTTCACTATGGTATAGCCTACATTAAGCCTTGGGGCAAAGTCAGGGACATGACATGACTAATTCATTTCTGTTTTTTTAAAAAAAGGGGAAATATTTTAATATTGTGTCATGCTTCTGTTATTTTAGCAATTGACTCATTTTAGTCTCTTTTTATTTCCCTGAATGATTTGTGTTATTCTGTATAGAAGTACCTAGAATTAAGTAGAAGTTGATGAGACATATTTAAGTTCTCTGATTGCAGATTTTAAAACATGAGTTTAACATTAGAAAAGACAAATGTGAGATTAGTGTCTTCTGGGGTCGTTTTATCCGTAGAACATTTGAGAAACAATTAAGATGTTAAAGAGATCTCATTGCATCAGGGGTGGGTGATGGCACAGTGGATAAGACACATGCTTTTAGTATGAGAGACCCGGATCCGAATCCTGTGTCCCTGAGCAAGACACTTAAAGGAGTTGTTCACTTTAAAAAAAAAAAAATTGCTGATAATTTACTCACCGCCATGTCATCCAAGATGTCCATGTCTTTCTTTCTTCAGTCCAAAATAAATTAAGTTTTTTGATGAAAACATCCCAGGATTTTCTCCATATAATGGACGTCATTGGGAACCAAGCGGTTCAAGGTCCAAATGAGAGTTTCAGTGCAGCTTCAAAAGGCTTTAAACAACACCAGACGATGAATAAGGGTCTTATCAAGCGAAACGATCACTCATTTAAAAAAATAAATAAAAAAGTTTTATAAGCACAAATCCTCGCCTTGTTCTGTTCTGTGATGAGCGTTCGTGACTCTCCTGTTCGAACTCATTCATCAAAATGAACGAATCTTTTTTCGAGTCATGACTCGAAGGGTCCTAGATAAGACCCTTATTCATCGTTTGGTGTCGTTTGAAGCTGCACTGAAACTCTCATTAGGACCTTGAACTGTTTGGTTCCCAATGAAGTCCATTATATGGAGAAAATCCTGGAATGTTTTCATCAAAAAACTTAAAAAAACAAATAAAGGAAGTCGTGGACATCTTGGATGACATGGGGGTGAGTAAATTATCAGCAAAAATACTCCTTTAAACCCTAGTTGCTCCAGAGGCATGCGACCTCTGACATATATAGCAATTGTAAGTCGCTTTGGATAAAAGCATCAGCTAAATGAATAAATGTAAAATGTAAATCAAATGCAAGTTTTAAAATGCATAAAACATGCGTTGTAAGTAAGTGAGTGACACATCAATTCTTCTCTGTACTTTAGAAAACAGCAGCTTAAACATGCCAAGCTTGGCACAGCCTTCTCCTTTTAGTTGCTAGCCTGTTATGTTTCTTTATGCTCATATGAAAGCTCATTTTATAAAAAGGTAAAAAACAATGATGCAAATTTATTTCGGCCTCTTTCATGATTCCCGAGGTGCTGTAAACATCAAGGATCAAACCGAACCCCTGGCAGACTGAAAGCCCTCAGTGAGTTCAATGGTAAAGTTCTGCAACCGACTCCAAATCCAAAGTGAAAGCATATGTGCGCGGCAGTGCGTGTGAGCGGAGCAGGCAGTAATTCCCGGGCCTAGAGAAATATGCTGTAATGAAACCTGCCTTTACAGTCACCTGTGCAATAGCTCTCGGCGTTCTCTTTGATCCGCAGAGCACTGCGCGTAAATAAAAAATCACTTTCTCCGCTGCCCGTTGTTGCTTTTGAATATTAGACTTTGCATTAATGCATCCAAGACTTAATGCAAGACATATTTTGTGCGTAACAGATGCCATCTGGAACAAGTCCTCTTAAAACAAAGGGTTTATAGAGGCATCATGTCAATGTGCTTTGCACTAACCCTGTTGCTTGCTACCTATAGTTTTCACTGGAAACTCATAGTCAGGATTTCACAGTCGGCCTGAAGCCGTGCTGAAATATGTGTCTGCCACTTAGTTACACAACCATGGAAAACAGCAATGTTGAGCTGAAAGTTGTAGCAAATAAACGGCTAATAGCGGAGTATCAATATCAAACCATCAAAACAAATGAAAGGCCTGCTGTTTTGTTTGGAGAGCAAGGTTAACATTTTTATTGGAAATTCATCAGTATTGTTTCTCTTTTGGCTTGATGTTAAAATGTAGGATTTAGAAATGCCCAAAGAAAGCGAGAGATTGGGAAATTTTGAGGCCTGAGACGATTCCTTTGAGAATTACGAAAATGCAGCTTTCGACATGAAATGTGGTAATCATAGGTTGTGAAAAGATGGATTTTAAGGCCAGATCAGGTCACTCAACCACTAGGAGAAGATAACATCGGACTCCATGATCTATCCCGTGCTTCTCTAATAAAATCCACATTTCAAGGAACTGCTGTTGTGCTTCCCCCCAAAAAACAAAACCGTCCCCTGCTGAGCTTGTTGTAAAGGTGTCAGCCCACCTTCCTTTCAACTTGTTATTTTCTTCCTTGCCAATTAAACTTCCAGACCTTTAAAATTAGACAATGTGCATCGCACATATATCCAAGGTGCAATTATTGGCTGACAGATGTGGCTTGTTTATGTGTGGCATCCTGTTTACTCCAAAGGCTGAATGATCTATGTAGTCTACTCATAAAACACTTTGAAACCATGGGAAACGTGAACTTATCCTATTCTCTGCTTGGTCATGAACCAGAATGAAGACAGAATCATTATGAAAACATGCTAAAATGTGTTAAAGGATAGTTCACAAAAAATGAAAACTGTTATCATTTACTCACCCTTGAGTTGTTCCAAATCTGAATGCATTTCTTTCTTCTGTTGAAGTAAATGGGGGCAGCCATCAACTGTTTGGTTTCTGACATTCTTCAAAATGTCTTCTTTTGGGTTAAGCAGAAGAAATAAATTGCTTCAGGTTTGGAACAACTTGAGGGTGAGTAAAATGACGACCGAATTTTGGATTAAATATCCCTTTAAACAGTGCTTTGGATTGTTTTTATTGACAGCAAGTTAGCCAAAATAGTTCAATAGCAAATAACAATTACTCAAATTACTGCGAATGGTCAAAAATACAATAAAAAGTGGATAATGATTTAAAATGTTATGGGGAAACTTAGTGTGTGGCGTTTGCGATTTCGTAAGATATCGTGACAACAAATAACAAAATGTGAGCTGTGATGTCTGATTCACGACCAAATGACTCTTATGAACTAGTTCTTTTTAATAAGTAAAAATAAAAAATAAAAAAATCACAAAACAGCCCCGAAATCAGCTTGAATCAGATGCACGAAATCTGTGAATAATTTAAGACGTGTTACTGAGTTCATATAGTTTCTTTTACGGTCTATGGTTTATATCTGATTCTATACTGAACCGAGTCATTTGTCGGTTGTGTCCGATTCAAAATAACCCTGGAATCGCTACTGTATATTTGATACTGTATACGTTGTTCATGACAACGTGTAACTAAATAGACATATTGTGATGTGTTGGCATCCTTCTGTCTTCGAGAGACAATGGTTTAGAATCTGCATAATCTTTTTTACATATTTTTTTTTTTACCAATATGGTTTGTTTTTAACATACAAGGCTGTAACCAACATTTAGTCTAAATGTTTCATTTAGTTTCCTTTTTTATTAAGAGCCCTGTCATGTGTGAATGTGCTGCTCAAATTGTGACCATTTCAATCTCTTTAATATATTAATTTAAATGGAGGGAAATACATAGAAGTGCCATGATGGAAGTTTTCTTCTTTGTGTGTGTGTGTGGAAACTAGTTCACAGATTTCAGCTATATACATGGATCATAGAGATTTCACATAATAAAAAAGACAGAGTGCAAAGTAAGTTTTCTTTATTAAACATCTTTTTAACAGTGCAGCTATTAAGACTTACAAAATCAATTTGGCACATATCAAACTATCATACTTCATACCATCCTCTGATCCCCAACTAACACGATCATCATCTGTTCTTTGCTCCAGACACTAATAAACAATGGCTGAGTTATTCCCTTGGCTTTACAATAATGTGCTTCTGTGCCACAATTCCTGGTTTGGCATTTATTCTTTACTCGCATTCAAAGAAAAAGAAAAAGAAAAGGCATTCATAGTTCCTGAACCGTTCCGACAAACATAAAAAGGCAATTATTGCAGCCAACTCATCAGCTGCAGATGAAACACTGAACATGACAGATTAGACAAAACATATTCAAATATTGCACTATGAATCCCTTATAACTGTTGAATAAAGGTTGAGGGCTAAGTTAATACTAAGGCTTCAGCCCCGTGTGTCAAGAATAATGTGGAAGCTAAATCTGCATAGAAACAAAAGATATACGTCACACCAACTCACTCGAGCACCAGCTAGATTCCCATAGCTAGAAGTCGTACAGGGCTTTCGAGCGTTTGAAATGTGAGCGAGTGCTACCAAGGAGCCTCAAACCAAAGTCAATCTGCTACCAAACGGAAATACGCTGAAATGTAAACCACAAAATACCACTCAGACCCCCGAATCGGAGTACATTCCATTGATGAGATAGTCGACCTGAGTGTAGTCCTTTCGCTTGTAGCTCTCGTAGGCTTGTTTGAGAAACAGCGCCACCGTGACCACAAAAAAGAGGAGGCCAAAGAAAAGAACGGCCAGCAGAGAGCTCGTGTTCAACAGGTGGCTCGTCAAAGAGTCTCCGGCCACGTCAACAATGGCTTGGTCCCTTTTGGGAATGTCCTTAGGCAGTTTGGATGTCACTACTGAGGGGCTCATTGAGGTTTTTGGCGTGGTTCGCATTGGCTTCCCATCTGAGGATGTTGGAATGGGAGAAGTTTGTACCGGTTTAGAGGAAGAATTGGATGTAGGCACTAATGGTGAGATGATGACAGACGAATTGGTCCCTGATGGTGAAGGTGAAGAAGGGTGTTTTGGAATGATGGTTTGTGCAACTGTTGTGGTGGTTGTTGTGCTGGTAGTTGCTGAAGAGGGTTTAGGGCTGGTTGTGGTTGGTTTGGGTGTAGTTGTGATGGTAGATGTCTTGGCTGGTGGTGTTGGAATGGCTTCTGAGTTCGCTGGTTTTGGCACTGCATCAGCTGTGGCGGATTTCTCTGTTGAATTTGTCAGCAGGTTAGTCACTGTAGTTGTCAAGTTGTTTTGTAAAGTGGTCGGTTTTGTAATAGTGGAAGTCGTAAAGATGGAGACGTTAGCTTCAGAGGCCGATGGTTGCGTGGTATTAGATGAAGAATCGTCTGGAGAAGATTGGGAAGAGTTGGTGCCTGAAGACCCTTGGAGAGGCACCAATTCTCTAGTCGAATTATTGTCCACGTTGTCAGACTCTGCAAAAACAAAGTTTGAGTTGGTAAATGGTTGACATGGCTGATATTCTGAGTGAGATGAGATCAAATGTGATGATGTAATCATAAGAAAACGTTATTCTGTCGAGTTGGAGCAGTGTAGTCTGATTCACAAACAAATCCCTCTTGCCATTATTTTTAAAACATGAAAAATATATAGTGCAACCAGTGGAGTCTGATTCAAAAAACAAAACACTAAAGAGTCATTTTGTGTGAATTGGACTACTCTGGTTGTGGTGTTTTAAATTCTTTAAAAAGAACCAGCACAACAAATAATTAAAAAGAGTCAAAATTGACTGTTTAGAAAACAGTGTAACGAATCATTCCAAAATAAGAGGCAAAGTTTCTGAAGAAAAATCGTTAACACTTTACTTGAAGGGGTGTTCATAAGACTGACACGACACCTTCATAAACATGACATATGTCTTGAATATGAAGTAGGGTTTATGCATGTTTGTGACAACTGTCACTAAGTGTATTTCGCTCAATAATGACATTTTAAATGCAAATATGACATTGTTTGAGATGTCTTTGTTATGACACCTTGACATAAACTATAACATCATAACCTGTCAGTGTCTTTGTCATGACAACTTGACATAAAATTAAGTTAAACTGCCATGTTGTTGGCTTTGACATTGGCTGTCATGAGGCCATTATAACTGTGTCATGAATATTTTTCGTGACCTCAACTACAGCAGTACTAATTGAATTTGTCATTAAAAAGTTATAATGGCTTCATGACAGGCAATGTCAAAACCAACCACCTGACAGTTTAATGTAATGTTAACCAATAAAGCTAGGTGGTTTCTTAAGTTTGATAATTAATCTGCTATGTCATGTCAAGTTGTCATGACAAAGACACTGACAGGTTATGATGGATTAGTTTATGTCAAGGTGTCATAACAAAGACATCTCAAACAATGTCATATTTGCATTAAAAATGTCATAAATGAGCGAATGACACTTAATGACAGTTGTCACAAACATACATAAAACTTCATCTTTATAACATAAGTCATGTCATGATTATGAAGGTGTCATGTTAGTCTTAAGCACACCCCTTCAAGTAAAGTGGAACCGAAAAATCAAATACTTCCAAAAGATGAAAGCAAAACATATATAACACAAAATAAATGCAGAAAAAACAAAGTAAATGTAATAGCATTTGTAGTCGCACCTGTCTCCGCTAACAGCTCGCTGATCTTCGTGACATTTCCACAAGAAGAGTTCTGGGTATCATTTGGGCAGCTGATCAGATAACACATTAACTGAGATTGGTCTTCATTTAAAAGAGCCATCGAACAGGATTCAATTTCAGGACCTGAAAAATTAAGAACAAAAAAAAAAAATCAACAAGACTTCCTCCCCAAAGAAGCTGTTGCTTAAAATAAAGCTTGTTTGCAGGCAATATCGATTGACTTCAAAACCATGTAAGATTCCTGAGTAAATGAATCTGTGCTACAGCGCAAGGCAAGGCAAGTTTATTTATATAGCACATTTCATACACGATGGCAATTCAAAGTGCTTTACATAGAAGAATATAAAATAATCAAAAGAAATCAGAATAATTAAAACAGTTTAGAATAAAAAATAAGAAATAATGAAAAATAAAAATTATGATAAAAATAAAATACAGTAAATTAAAAGTAATTTAAAGCGCACAAATAATAATAATTCTACGAGAATTGGTTGATGTGCTAAAAAAAAAAAACACCAGTGCATTCAAACTCACAAATAATTAACAAAATCGGAACAAATTATTCATAAAAGCTAACGAGTAACCATTTTGAATAGCAGTCTGATTCCTTCCAGAACAGGTTAAGTTGCTAAATGAAACGCATCATATGCAAATATATGCACAAGAAACATAAAGTACATTACACCAATATGAACCTTCCCAGAATATCAAAATCAAAATTTCCAATATGATCAATTAAATAAATAAATGGACACATTTTGCTACCAATAATCCACAAATAAGGACAAATAACCTAAACCAAGTGTCAAGGCCAAATATATTTTATAGCCTGCTCTAAAAATGTGAAATAAAATGACCAGTGCAATCTGTGACTCATTAACCTCAGTTGTTTTCATTGGGACAGAGACATTCCCTGAATGCTCATTACTGGATGTCAAACTGCATATCCTGAGCTCGGCAGTCTTCGGGAACGAGCAACGTCTGGGAAGAAAAACAGGCCTTGCCGCACCTTTCTTTGATCCCCTCCCAGCAGCCATGTGTGTTAGGTACTGCACACCTCAACCTCCACATCCGTCTCCACTCTTTCCCTTATTCCCACTTCCCCTGATTACTTAACCAGGTGGCCGAGGCTAGAAAGAATTTGCTTGCACTGGCACCGCAGAACGCTCCAAAATGCCCTCGTTTCCCTTTTCGGACCGAGCCAACAGACACTCGTCCAGCATTTAAAGCACCAGGTGAATCAATAATAAACCTCTGTGAGTTGAAAAATGCCGGTTGAATCATCTCTTGGTCAGCGTTGACGCACTAAATCGATAGGCCATCTGCAGCGAGTGCATTTTTTTTCCCTTTTAAACACTTCTCCAGCTGTTTGAAGCAGAAAACGCATGAAAGCAAAGGCGAATGCAGTCCGGTGTGAAATCGTAGAGGACCCGTCAAGACTTTTGCAGTCGCTTCATAGTACGTTCAGTCACTGACGTGTCGAAAAAACACACACCGGTCCCTGAGCTGGAATGTGGAATGCTTATGTATTTATAGCTCCCCGTCATTCCAAACATTTCAGACTTCCAGATGGCGGTGGCGATTCTGACCTTGCTTTCGATCTCCATACGGTTAACGTGATGGAAACTCAATACAGACTGTGTACGTGCGTGTTATCGTGCGGGGCAGGTCCAGCCGCTCTACCCACAAACACAAAGCCAATGTGCCCTGGGGTCATTTTGGCTGTCTGCGTGTTTACAAAGGTGGAGGGATAGTCAAGTTCAACGTGTGTGGCCAAAGCAAAAGAAGAAAAGTGATTTATAAAAAAAAAAAAAAAAAAAAAGAAACAGCATGTAGAAGGGTATGGTCCGCTGAAGCAGCGCCTGGCGCATAAGCAGAACAGCCAGCCCAGGCCTCTCTTTCATCTTAAATGTGAAACATATGGCCCTCTTTGAAAGTGCACGCTCTTCAAGGGAAAGTCGTGATGTATAAAAAGACAAAACAGAACATATGGCTTTGCTTTAAGAAAAATATGATATTCTGCAGGTACCCTGTTTTATCTCTGAAGGTAGCACAGAGACTGCATTTGATTCTCAAGCCCTTGAAGAAACAGAAAAAGAAGCCCGTCTGATTTAGCTCTTGGAAATAGTGGAAAAGAATCAAACAAATCTGTCGTTTCAATTTTCCGCCTGTCTTATATATTTGCATGGGTCGACAATAAGGATGTGGCCACAGGAATGTCACTTGCCTTATTGAGACAGAACTTAGCTGATCATGCAGATGCATCATTTTGCAAATTTAAAGGAACTGCTCACTCATATGAAAATTCTGTCATTGCTTGCTTACTCATGTTATTCCAAAACATGTATGACTGACTGTAAGTCAATGAGGTCCAATGTTGTTTGGATCCCAGGGTTCCTTAAAATATTTTCTTTTCTTTCCACAGAAGAAAGTCATACAGGTTTGGTGACTGAATGTTTATTTTTGGGTAAAATTTGTTTTCTCTGACATTGAAATTCTAGCTGACAGTGTTCTAGCAAATTCTGCTGATGTAGATATGACACCTGTGGTAAAGTTCTCAAAATGGTTTGCATCAATGAAGTTTGTGCGAAAAACTGTATCCATGTAATTTTATATATGTATTTTAGTTCATATAAATGGGTCATTGACAAAAAAAAAACTGATGCAAGGCATTTTTTTTAATCATGAACAATGAAAAAGAATATGTTACAGAAGATTTAAAGGTGTTTAAATTTATTTTTTGACTGCTTCTACGTCAGATGGTACAATCAAATAGTTGTGTGTGTGTGTGTGTATATATGTGTGTGTGTGTGTGTGTATATATATATATATATATATATATATATATATATATATGAGGGCTGGGCAACGATTAATCGCATCCAAAATAAAAGTTTGTGTTTTTGAATAAATGTATGTGTAGTGTGTATAATTATTTGGTATATATAAATACACACATGAATGTATATTTAAGAAATAGTTGTATGTATATACTTTAAATATATTTATAACCAATTAAAATTATGTGTATAAATAAATATTTGATATATTAAAAACACATTTTTCTTAAATATATACATCTGTGTGTGTATTTATATATACAAAATAATGATACACACTACGCACACATATATTATGTAAACACAAACTTTTATTTTGGATGCGATTAATCGTTGCCCAGCCCTATATATATATATGTGTGTGTGTGAATGTTTAAACCATCTATTGTCCAATTAAAATATTCATAGAAAAAAAGAGCCAGGTTTGCAGTTGTCACCTTGATATGAGAATATAAAAATTGCAGAACAAAAGTTTTTCCAATCAATTATCTCAACAAATATATATTTTTAATAATAATAAAATATAAATAGTAAAAATAAGCCCTGATGCATCATGTATTTCTGGCAAATGCTACCTTAAATAAATGGGGGAAAATAGTTTAATAATAATGGTGGTTTCTAAAGTTGTAATTATTGTTATCCCAACATGCTATAAGTTAATACTTGGGTGAAAACAGAAGAACATCTACTCAGAAATAATTAATGTATAAAAATTTAAAAAAGGATCTCAGATCCCCTAGTCCTTAGATATAATTCAATAGAAATAGACTTACATAATTTCAAGTCACAATCGTCTGGTCTTCCCACAGTCGTATTAAACACTATCTTGAAGCCGTTCTTCAAATGCATGGGCGCACATGGAAGCACAAGAAGCCCAAAGATGGGCACCAGGACCAGGACGGGGTGGACAGTCATGATCATAATGAGAGAGGTGGTCACATCCCCAACATCTGTGGGATATACAAAAGCAAGTACTTTAAAATTAACTCGACACTATATTTCTTAAATACATTAGATTTATGGTCAGATTGATAATCAATTGCCTCAGAGAAGTAAGAGAGAATTAATATAAATGTGATTAAATTGCGCCATCTAGTACACATTCCAAAACACTACTAGGAAATGTTTTGAAATTCCACTGGTCTACCTGCAAAATGGCTGTTTCACAATCTTATTCAACTAACACTAGAGCATAAGTGTAATAAAAACACATAACCTTTTATAGTCATTTTCAGATTACAAACTGCACTTTTAAAGTAGTGCAAGGTCTAATCTCTTGTCGGTGCTAGAAAATGTGATTTCCAGCACTGATACAGGCTGTTTTGGGTATAAGGAAGTTTCAAAAGTGAATAAATAGGTCTTGGGCGCAGCACATTAATCTCTGCCACACCCCTCAGGACGCCCGGTCATTGCCACCACTGCAAACAGCAATGAAGGGCTCACTAAACCCGTTCCAGGATGTGCAGATCATATGACTTCCATCCAGGCTTGAACAAAGGAATGAAACTCACTCAGAGATGAAGCAGATTATTCACGGATGGTTCCTCCTGAGCTGGAATAAAACACAAACAAGAAATAAAGCTACTGTCTGTAGCTACTGAAAAAGAACAGGGTTAAATCACTCCCAAAGAACTATCAGCAAAGAATCCTCAAGCTTTGTGCATCCATTTTTCTTAAACTATAAAGGGGTAAGATCCACATTACTAGAGGGTTTATAATTTAAACATACACCATAATGGAGGTTAACATACAGTTGCATGCTAGTACAAATCACAAATTATCATCTGTGTGCGTTATTATGGTTTAACACCTTAAGAGTCAGTACTAGGGTAATGTAGGTCAGTTAAGAAGTGTGTCCAAACACAAACAACACCATTGTTTGCTGTTTACAATGGAACATGCGTTTTCTAACTCTTTACATCTAGATGTTTTTCTTAAAGACAGACCCACCTTCCTACTATAAATATATATTACACTAATTACAAGATGGCTTAATTAACGTACACATGCACTTGAATAACCGCAAGAAAATTAGTATACAAAATCTATGTTAGCTATTAAAGCAATCTTGACAAATATAAAGAAAGCTCACGAGGATGCACTTACCAAACAAATACAAAGCTTCTTTTCACAATACAAATATCAATTTGTAAGGATGTAAACAGCAGCGTTTCCAAAACACTCTTTTTTACCGTAGTAAGCAAGCAAATGAAAACCGTCTCATTCCGCATGCAATGTGTTTAATGTCACTCTCCTGTCAAATGCTTCATATTTTAATTTGGGCTGTTTATGTAAGTAGCAGATAGCTGACAGCCACGACACACGGCTGATGCGACAAGAGGAAATGCAGGACTTCCGGGTCAGGATGTGATCCGTGAGCGTATCAAAATAAAGGTACTCAGCTCATAATTAAGTTGGAGTTTATTGTACGTCGGTGGACATTGATTAACGGAAGATTACATAAAATTACATAAAATCGTTTTAAATGACCATGAACCATGATAGTAACCTTTTTTAAAGTATAATGGGATCATATGTACCATTGGTTTTTATACCGCTAACTAAAGTATAATATAAGTAATAAGTATTATAATAAAAGTATAAAGTAACTAAACTAAATAACTAAAGTATAATCAAGTATAAGTATTATAATACACAAGTAACAAAGTAAAGATGAAAGCATACCATTTAGCTCATACCATATATATATATATATATATATATATATATATAGAGTTATTGCTACAGATAAGTGATAAAGTGAAGAAACTCTGCTTTTCCAGTCTGGAGTTTTAATTACAAGGACTTTTATAACGGAAACATGTAAGTCACGTGACACGGAAGTGCTCAGAGTCATTTTATTACCAAGCAGAAGCTTCGCTAAAAACCACGTAGAAAATAAACAAAAAACAAGGATGATCAAGGCTATTCTTATTTTTAACAACCATGGGAAACCCAGGCTCATCAGATTCTACCAATATTTTGTAAGAGACTGAAACTGCATTTGCCAAGCCAACTAATGGCATTTGTTATCATTCATAGAGACCTGACACACTATCATCAGCAGATTAATTTAATTAATTGATATTTATTGAATGTTTCGTAGTTACCCATGCAGTATTAGCTTCAGATAAACTATGTTTGTCAAATATGTTTCGTGGTAAGGAATATTTATTTTCGTATCTGTTTTTCCAGCTTCAAGGTCTTACTGGAAAGTCAGTTCCTTATTTTAATGCTTTATTATGTAGTCTATAGCATAATATTAAACCATTATACATAATATTACATAATATTAAACCATTTTTTTGTGGTCTATACTACTAGTGTTTGCTTTTTTCCTATGTATATATATATATATATATATATATATATATATATATTTTAATGATGAGTTTATGTGAAAATAAGATAAAACAAATTTGTAATCAGTTTGATCATGCTTCTCTTACAGGCAGAAGACATGCAGCAACAGATCATCCGGGAGACCTTTCATCTGGTGTCCAAAAGAGACGATAATGTCTGCAATTTCCTGGAGGGTGGAAGGTGACAGAAGGGGTTTTACAAATGAAGTTGCACATAAGGGCTGGCTGATATGATTTTGATCTATATTTCAGTATCCATGACTGTATAAAGATGGATGCTCTGCTCTCAAAGGTTATTTACTGTTGTTTTGCTCTTCCTTTTGCTTAGTTTGATTGGCGGCTCCGACTACAAGCTGATCTACAGACACTATGCCACTCTGTACTTTGTGTTTTGTGTGGACTCATCAGAGAGTGAGCTGGGGATTCTAGATCTCATACAGGTGAACATACTGCCATTCTCATGTTGTAGTACTGGTTTAAAGCCACAAGGGCTTACTGTGTTCTTCATATTGCCCACATATCTTTTTTGAAGGCGTATATAAAGACAAGGCAAAGTTTACAACCCTTGTTTTAATGCAATTGTTCATGCATTAATGCTCACTGAACAATACTAATATTATCTTTAAGTACAATTTAAATACCAGTTATTCAGTATATAATGCTGCCATCCGATACCATGGTATTGCCACAGTACTTTGTTGCATGAGTGGACGTGCATTGATCGTGTAACACAAAGTCTTTTAGAAATCTCTATGAAAGAACTTGTTTTTATTCACTATTGTACACAATCTTATAATGCAGGTCTTTGTGGAAACCCTGGACAAGTGCTTTGAGAATGTGTGTGAACTGGACTTAATCTTTCACATGGATAAGGTCAGTTTTCAGGTGTATGATGCTCACTTCATAATGACTTTTTACCTCCTTGGTAAAAAGTGTTCTTTGGTTAAATATTTATTTGGGCATGAATAAATGGGGGTGATCATAATGCTATCCGTTATGTAAGGAAATTTTTATATGTTGGTCTAAAATTTACTTTCTGATAACGTCGTGTTGATTTATTGCGGCACTGTAAAATACGTTCATGATAGAAGTGTGCACTACGCTGGCTTCATCAGTTATCTTGAGTGAAAGGAATTACTGGGAAATGATAATGAATGGCTTTACGGTAACTTGATTGATTGTGTTTGATAATGCGCATCAGTAGTCCTGTGCTTGTGTGTATTTTTAGAGTTATGGTCCAGTCCCGTTTCATGCTCCGATTCAGTCAGTTGAGCGTTTTATGGCACTGTGTAAAAGTATGGATTTGAAATAAGTAAAATTGACAGTCCAAATTGAATGATTAGATTATAAATGCCATACTACACAGTAATAGGTGTGATCGTCTTGAATCAGAGACGTGCTCTAATCGCTCTCATGCTACTTTAATGTCATTTATCGATCAGTTGAACTCACTTGCAGTGTGACCAAATAAAATGATTCTTATGAACCTGTTCTTTTAGTGAATGAAATCAGACCAGTGTATTTCAACTCTTACGAACCGGTTCTTTTAAATGATGAAAAACATAATAGCAGTGTCCCATTTCAGAGGCTGCATCCTTCGAAGGCTGCGAAAGTCGGACTGAGCGTTGTTGAATTGGGTGGTCTAGCCTAGCTCTTTGTTCACTCTAAAAATGCTGGGTTGTTTTAACCCAACTTTGGATCAAATATGGACAAACCCAAACGTTGGGTTAAAAAATGTAATTAAAAAATTTAACCCAATGGCTGGGTTTGTCCATATTTGACCCAAAGTTGGGTTAAAACAAGCCAGCAATTTTAGAGTGTATTTTTTAGAGTATTACTGTATTAAAGGGTTAATTAACCCATTAATGACTCACCCTCATGTCGTTCCAAGCCCATAAGACCTCCGTTCATCTTCGGAACACAGTTTAAGATATTTTAGATTTAGTCCGAGAGCTTTCTGTCCCTCCATTGAAAATGTATGTACGGTATACTGTCCTTGTCCAGAAAGGTAATAAAGACATCATCAAAGTAGTCCATGTGACATCAGTGGGTTAGTTAGAATTTTTTGAAGCATCAAAAATACATTTTGGTCCAAAAATAACAAAAACTACGACTTTATTCAGCATTGTATTGTCTTCCGGTTCTGTTGTCAATCCGCGTTCACAAGTCCGCAGTGACGCTGCTGACGTGTATCCGGTGTGTCCGTGTATTTGTGTTCAAATAAATATGGCTGGGCAAAAAAATGCAAGTCTTCCTCTGTGTTGAAATCCTTAGACATGTTTGCGAAGAATGTTTTGTTCATAGCGTGACTGTAAACGAAGCTCGGCGCACCAGATAACACGTCAGCAGCGTCACTGAACACGGATTGACAACAGAACCGGAAGACAATACAATGCTGCATAAAGTCAAAGTTTCATTTTTTGGGTGAACTAACCCTTAGCTAATGAAAAAAAAGCAAAACCAGATTTTCAAAGTCTTGTAGGTTTAAGTTTTTGTTGTTTTTTCCCAGGTCCATTACATTCTCCAGGAAGTTGTCATGGGCGGGATGGTTCTGGAAACTAACATGAATGAAATAGTCGCCCAAGTGGAGCTTCAGAATAGAATGGAGAAATCGGAGGTGAGTTCACATTTACATTACCCGAAGTCACTCCAGTTCAGCTGACATAAGTTCATGCATACATCTTTACCTCAAAGGGAACAGGAAAGAGTATTTTAAATAGTTTAATGTGACGCATACTATATGCTAATTAATTTAACCAAAACATAAAAGAAAAAAGTCACCTTTATAAGTTTCAAAGCAGCTTTACAGTGATATCAGACAAATGATGTTGTTCAGCTGAAGTGTTTTCAGTGTTGATTCATTCCCGTTTTAAAGATCATCAATTTTTAAGCTACTTGTTTAATTCATCTATAAAAAAAATCAGCAAAAAATGATGTCATCGTCCAGTTCAGTTCAGTTCTTCTAATACAACAGGGCTAGTACAGTCAGATTAATAATATGTGTTGCACACATTAATTTTGTTTTTCACTGCATGTTCTACACAGAATTTAATGTTTGTGAAACGCTATAAGTATGAATATCACAAAAGACATTTTGTCATGTTGCTTGTTTAGTATCACTTGAAACTATTTTGGACGTAACAGTACATCATGTGAACAAACTAAAATGATATCATGCAATAGTGAAAGATGTCTCAGCAGATACCAGTGTATCATGGTCACCTGATATCCTATCTGGGGTCGTGGCGATCACTAATGTTTGACAACACATGACACGCTCTTATGTATACATAGAAGAGGTTAAAATGAGGAAATGTTACACAAGACAATAAAGCGCACATGGCAGAGAACAAATGAACATCCATACATGATGTTTAGGTAAAGACACTAGAAACGTGATGAGGAACTTCATGACTTCTTCCACTATGTACTTTGACCTGAAAATGGTCTGTCAAGCTGGGTCAGGTTTTCTTGTATAACTTCTGGTTATAAAAATAATTACTATTTCTAAATACATTGTTACATATATTATAACCAAAGTATTTGTTTATTTTATTTGTATTATATATTGTATTGTGCTGGGTTTTGCCCTATAGGGATAGTTCACCTTAAAAATGAAAATTCTGTTATTAATTATTGCTCCCTCCCTCCATTAATTAATTGCATTACGGGTTTGGAAAGACATTTTCACTTTCGTTCATCTTCGGAACACAAATGAAGATCTTTTTGATTAAATCTGAGAGATTTCTGTCCCTCCATTGACAGCAATGTGACACGGATGCTTCAAAAACTTCATAGGGAGATTGTAAACTAAACTCTCGTGTGGCGTAACACGTGAATGAACTGCATGACAAGCGAACATACTTGGGCTTGAGCCAACTGATGCGGGAGTTGATGCACTTTTATATGTGAATAAAAGCCTACATTAAATCAGTTGGTTCATCATATAAAGCAATCGTGTCTCTTCAGAAAATTTGGACTAAAATTCATATGCTCAATTCATATAGT